AGCTCCCGGAGGAAGGAGCAGGCAGTCATCTTTGCTGTTCTGCAGCCTCCACTGGTGACACCTCCAGGCTCGGGAGGGACCCAGATGAATAGGGTCTGGAGTGGACCCCCAGCAAACCATAGCAGCCCTGCAAAAGAAGGATCTGATTTTTAAAAGAAAAACAAACAATTAGAAAGCAACAACAATGATGACAACAATAACAAAAAAGACCCCAAAAAACCCCAACCAAAGGTCAGCATTTTCAAAGATTGAAAGTAGGTAAACCCATGAATATGAGCAAAAGTCAACAAAAACATGTTGAAAATCCAAAAAGTGTCTGTGACAGCATGCTGGGGACTGCCTAAAACAACTGAGTTCCCAGGGGGAGGGGTGGCTGCCATCACTGTGGCTCCAGTTGCCCAGAGTGTCTTTTATCCAAATGATTGCAACACCTCTCCAGCAATGGCACAGAACTGGGCTGAGGCCAAGATGGATGACTTGACAGAAGTAGGCTTCAGAAGGTGGGTAATAACAAACTTCACTGAGCTAATGAAGTATGTTCTAACCCAATGCAAAGAAGCTAAGAACCATGATAAAACATTGCAGGAGGTTTTAACAAGTTAACCAGAATAATCAGTTTAGAGAGGAACATAAATGGTCTGATGGAGCTGAAAAACACTACACAAGAACTTTGCAATGCAACCACAAGTATCAGTAGCTGAATAGAGCAAGTGGTGGAAAGAATCTCAGAGCTTAAAGATTATCTTACTGAAATAAGAAAGGCAGACAAGATTACAGAAAAAAGGAAGGAAAAGGAATGAACAAAACCTTCAAGAACTATGGGATTATGTAAAAAGTTTGAAGCTATAACTGATTAGGGTACCTGAAAGAGACAGGGAGTATGACCCAAGTTGAGAAACATACTTCAGGATATTATCCAGGAGAACTTCCCCAACCTAGCAAGATAGGCCAACATTCAAATTCAGAAAATTCAGAGAACCCCAGTAAGATACTCCATGAGAAGATCAACCGCAAGACAAACAATCATCAGATTTTCCCAGGCCAAAATGAAGGAAAAAATGTTAAGGGCAGCCAGAGTGAAAGGCCAGGTCATCTACAAAGAGAAGTCCATAAGATTAACAGTGAGCCTGTCAGCAAACACCCTACAAGCCAGAAGAGACTGGGGGCAATATTCAACATTCTTTAAAGAAAGGATTTCTCGCCCAGAATTTCATATCTGTCCAAACTAAGCTTCATAAACAAAGGAGAAATAAGATCCTTTTCAGTCAAGCAAATGCTGAGGAAATTCGTCACCACCAGGTCTATCTTGCAAAAGCTCCTGAAGGAAGCACTGGATATGGAAAGGAAAACCTGTTACCAGCCACTACAAAACCACACGAAAGTACACAGACCAGTGACACTATGAAGCAACTACCTAAACAAGTCTGCAAAACAACCAGCCAGAATCATGATGACAGGATCAAATTCACAAGTAACAATATTAACCTTAAATATAAATAGGCTAAATGCCCCAATTAAAAGACACAGAATGGCAAGCTGGATAAAGAATCAAGACCCATCAGAGTGTTGTATGCAAGAGACCCATCTCACGAGCAAAGACACACATATGATCCAAATAAAGGAATGGAGGAAAATCTACCAAGCAAATAGAAAGCAGAAAAAAAGCAGAGGTTGCAATCCTAGTTTCTGAAAAAACAGACTTTAAACCAACAAAGATCAGAAAAGACAAAGAAGAGCATCATATAATGGTAAAGGGTTCAATCCAACAAGAAGAGCTAACTATCCTAAATATGCACCCATCAGAAGAGCACCCAGATTCATTAAACAAATTATTAGAGACCTACAAAGACACTTACACTCTCACACAATAATAGTGGGAGACTTTAATACACCACTGTCATATTAGACATATCATTGAGACAGAAAATTAACGAAGATACTCAGGACTTAAGCTCAGCTCTCGATCAAGTGGACCTGATAAATACCTACAGAACTCTCCACCCAAAAACAACAGAATATTCATTCTTCTTGGTTCCACATGGCACTTACTCTAAAACTGATCACATAATTGGAAGTAAAACACTCCTCTGTAAAGGCAAAAGAACTGAAATCATAACAAACAGTCTCTCAGACCATAGTAAAATCAAATTAGAACTCAGGATTAAGAAACTCATTCAAAACCACACAACTACATGGAAATTGAACAACCTTCTCCTGTGTGATTTCTGGGTAAATAATGAAAGTAATGCAGAAATCAGGAAGTTCTTTGAAACTAATGAAAAGAAACAGACAACGTATCAGAATCTCTGGGACGCAGCTTATGCAGTGTTAAGAGGAAAATTTATAGCACTAAATGCACACATCAAAAAGCTAGAAAGATCTCAAGTTGACACCCTAATGTCACAACTAGAAGAACTAGAGAACCAAGAACAAACAAACTCCAAAGCTAGCAGAAGACAAGAAATAACCAAAATAAGACTCGAAGTGAAGGAGATAAACCCTTCAAAAAATCAATGAATTCAAGAGCTGTTCTTTTGGAAAAAATAATATAGACAGACTGCCAGCTAGACTAATAAAGAATAATAGAAAAACAAAATAGACACTCTAAAAAATGATAAAGGAGATATCACAACTGACCCCATGGAAATACAAACAACCATTAAAGAATACTATAAACACCTCTATGCACATACACTAGAAAATCTAAAAGAAATACCTGGACGCATACACCCTCCCAAGATTGATCCAGGAAGAAGCTGAGTCTCTTACTAGACCAATAATGAGTTCTGGTATTGAGTAATAATAAATAACCTACCAATAAAAATAAAAGTCCAGGACCAGATAGATTTATAGCTGAATTCCACCAGAGGTACAAAGAGAAGCTGGTACCATTTCTTCTGAACCTATTCCAAATAATTGAAAAGGAGAGACTCCTCTCTAGCTTATTTGATGAGGCCAGCATCATCCTGATACCAAAACCTGGCAGAGATACAACAACAAAAAAAGAAAACTTCAGGCCAATATCCCTGGTGGATACTGATACAAAAATCCTCAGTAAAATACTGGAAAACTGAATCTAGCAGCACATCCAAAAGTTTATTTATCACAATCAAGTTGGCTTCATCCCCGAGATGCCAGGCTGTTTCAACATATGCAAATCAATAAACATAATTATTATAAACAGAATAAAGACAAAAACCATGTGATTGCCTCAATACACACAGAAAAGACCTTCAATGAAATTCAACATCCTTTCATGTTAAAAACTCTCAATAAACTAGGTATTGAAGGAACATCCCTCAAAATAATAAGTTATTTATGAAAAACCCACAGACAATATCATATTGAATGGGCAAAAGCCAGAAGCATTCCCCTTAAAAACCCGCACAAAACAACAATGCCCACTCTCACCATTCCTATTCAACTGGCATTGGAATTTTTGGCCAGGGTAATCAGGCAAGAAAAAGAAATAAAGTGTACTCAAATAGGAAGAGAGGAAGTCAAATTGTCTTTTTTTCTTTTTTGCAAATGACATAATCCTAGGTCCTAGATAATTCCATTGTCTCAGCCGAAAGCTTCTTAAGCTCATAACCAACTTCAGCATCTCAATATGCAAAATTAATGTGCATAAATCACAAGCATTCCTATACCAACAACAAGCAGAGAGCCAAATCATGAATGAACTCCCATTCACAATTGCTGCAAAGAGAATAAATACCTAGGAATACAGCTAACAAGGGAAGGGAAGAACCTCTTCAAGGAGAATTACAAACCACTGCTCAAGGAAATCAGAGAGGATACAAACAAATGGACAAACATTCCATGTTCATGAATAGAAAAAATCAATATCATGAAAATGGCCATACTGCCCAAAGTAATTTGTAGATCCAATGCTATTCCTACAAAACTGACATTCTTCACAGAATTAGACAAAACTATCTAAAACTTCACATGGAACCACAAAAGAGCCCATATAGCCCAAATAATCAACCTAAGCAAAAAGAACAAAGCTGGAGACATCATGCTACCTAACTGACTTTAAACTATACTACAAGTCTGCAGTAACCAAAACAGCATGGTACTAGTACAAAAACAGGCCAATGAAGCAGAAAACAGAACTCAGAAGACCACACATCTACAATCATCCGATCTTCAAAAACGTGATAAAAACAAGCAATGCGGAAAGGATTCCCTATTTAATAAATGGTGCTGGGAGAACTGGCTAGCCATATGTATAAAGTTGAAACTGGATCCCATTTTTTACACCTTATACAAAAATTGACTCAATATGGATTAAAGGCTTAAATATAAAACCCAAAACTATGAAAACCCTAGAAGAAACTTTAGGCAAGACCATTCAAGGAATAGACATGGTCAAAGATTTTGTGACAAAAACATCAAAAGCAATTGCTACAAAAGCAAATACTGACAAATGATGTCTAATTAAACTAAAGAGCTTCTGCACAGCAAAATAAACTATCATCAGAGTGAGCAGACAACCCACGGACTGTGAGAAAAATTTTGCAACCTATCCATCTTACAAAGGTCTTATATCCACAGTCTACAAGGAACTTAAACAAATTTGCAAGAAAAAGAAAACACAAAAAATCTAATTAAAAAGTTTGCAAAAGACATAAAGAGGCATTTCTCAAAAGAAGACATTTATGTAGCAAACAAACATACAAAAAAAGCTTAACATAACTGATCACTGGAGAAATGCAAATCAATATCACAATGAGATACCATCTCATGCCAGTCAGTATGGCGATTACTAAAAGGTCAAGAAACAGCAGATGCTGGAGAGGCTTCAGAGAAAAAGAAACACTTTTACACTGTTAGTGGGAATGTAAATTAGTTCAACCATTGTAGAAGACAGTGTGGCAATTCCTCACAGACCTAGAACCAGAAAGACCATTTGACTAAACAATTCCATTACTGAGTATATTAGTTCATTTTCACGCTGCTGATAAAGATACACCTGAGACTGGGAAGAAAAAGAGGTTTAATTGGACTTACAGTTCCACATGGCTGGGGAGGCCTCATAATCATGGCAGGAGATGAAAGGGACTTCTTAGATGGCTGTGGCAAGAGAAAATGAGGAAGAAGCAAAAGCAGAAACCCCTGTACACCCATCAGATCTTGTGAGGCTTATTCTCTATTACGAGAAGAGCATGGGAAAGACCATCCTCCTACAGTTTCCTCCCCCCTAGGTCCCTCGCACAACATGTGGGAATTCTGGGAGACACAATTCAAGTTGAGATTTGGGTGAGGACACAGCCAAACCATATTATTGGGTATATATCCAAAGAAATATAAATCATTCTATTATAAAGATACATGCCTGTGTATGTTTATTGAAGCACTACTCACAATAGGAAAGGCATGGAATCAACCCAAATGTCCATCAATGATAGACTGGATAAATAAAATATGGTACATATACACCATGAATACTATGCAGCCATAAAAAGGAATGATGAAATCACATCCTTTTCAGGGACACGGATAGAGCTAGAAGCCCTTATCCAGGGCAAAATAATGCAGGAACAGAAAACCAAATACTACATGTTCTGACTCATAAGTGGGAGCTGAACAATGAGAACACTTCGACAGAGAGAGGGGAGCATCACACTCTGGGGCCTGCGTGGGGCAGGGAGAGCATCAGAATAAATAGCTCATCCTGGGCTTAAAACCTAGGTGATGGATTGATAGGTGCAGCAAACCACCATGGCACACGTTTACCTATGTGACAAACCTGCATATCCTGCACACGTACTCCAGAACATAAAATAAAATAAAATAAAATAAAGAAACAAATCAATTCAAAAATGTGATTTTTTAGATTCCTCATGTAAGAAAGATCATGCATTACTTGTCTTTCCATGTCTGGCTTATTTCACTTAGCATAATGTCCTCTAAGTTCATGCATGTTGTCACAAATGACAGTGTGAAAGAGAAACAGAATCTCGGGACCCCGAACTCACTATGCCAAAGGGAAAGTTAATCTTGGGGACGGAGGCACCAATACTGTCTTCCTTCTGTTCCCAAACAGATAACAGTAATTTCACAGCCCCGTGTCATAACCTCGCTTCCTCTACTCCTTCCCTCTTTTCACATGTTTACTTAATTTTATGTAAAATGTAGATTTACTGAGCACAAGACAATTTATAATCAACTTTTTCCTCTATTCTCCTTTCACGGGTGAAGTATAGATTTACTGAGGCTAATCAAAGACTCAAGAATATAACCATTTGTGCCATTGCCTACACTTCCTTCTTTTTTTCTCCTTCCCCTCCTGCTTGCTCTTTCCCCTTTTAATACTGAAGTTCTCAAAACACTCTATGGCAAAAGCCTGGATCACAGATGCTCCTGTGATTTCTGTTTTTCCCAGGTGTCTTCCTCAACCTTGGCAAAATAAACCTTTAATTGATTGAGACTTACTTCAGTCGCTTTTTGGCTTAAAAGAGGGTTTCTTTGTTTTTAAAGCTGGAATAGGATTGAATTGTGTATACATACCTCATTTTCTTTATCTATTCATCTTCTGAATGACACAGGTTGATTCTATTGTGGATAATGCTGCAAGGAACATAGGAGTATAGCTATATATTCAACATACTGATTTTAAATTCTTTGTCTGCATCCTGCAGATGGGACTATTACACCGTATGATAGTTCTATTTTTAACTTTTTGAGGAACTTCCATACTGTTTTCCATAATGGTTGTACTAATTTACACTCCCATCAACAGTGTACAAATGTTTCCTTTTGTCTACATTGTTGTTAACACTTTTCATCTTTTGTCTTTTTGATAATAGCCATTCTGACAGATGTGAGGTGGTATGTTATTGTGGTTTAAATGGAATATCTTAAGCTTTTCTATTTGAAGATTAAAAGCACTCTCCCGAAAATATTACTGCTAATGTTGCTGTTTTGCATGAACCGTGACCTTGAGTTGAGTTCTTGGACACATGAGTTCTTCAGTATGAGGATATGGGTTTAAGTACTCAAGAACTATGTATTTATATTTTATATGGCTGAATGTTAGGGCCTCTCTTTACTGGTAAGAACTTATAGAAGAAGGAGACATTATAAAGATCTCACAAAGAGATATTTAAGATTTTTGTGGGGAATGAAGGAACATGGTGACTACTAATTAGAGGCTGGGGGAAGAGCTGTCTCTGGAAATATTCCAGGCATCACTATGGAACCAGAATTAGAGGCAAACGGAGGTGTGTTGGAAAGAGTGACACGTGTAGGTTAGCTCTGGGTGGTTTAATCACCAGTCGTCTAACTGAGGCAATGTGTGGATGAGGAGGTTGACAGAAACAAGGAACCTGAAGAGACAGAGTACGAAACAAGGCCTCCTTGGACAGCATATCCTCAGCAGGCAGCTTGGGATTTTGTCCCAGTCTTCTGTCTTCAAAGGCTATTTTCGTACAACATGAGGAGCCATGGGACTGGTGAGGTCTGGGCTTCTGTGCCAAGATCACTCACATTCCTCATTTCCCCTCAAGTGTTCCAAATGCCTTGTATCACCTGATTTTCTATCTTCCTGCTAAAGCTTTCCCCATACTCTTACTCTTCACCCTCCAACATTCTCCAGTTCTTACCTGACTTCCACCGTGGAGTTTCCCCGTGGCCACTTGCTTGTAGGAGGCACTGTCTAAACACAGCCTCTGGATGCTACTTATTTGGCTCTTTCTTCAGATTAGTCTCTAGAGTGAGATTTTAAAGAGATAACTTTTTACCAAGAGAAAGGACCTAATTTATACGTGTCATGAAAAATTTTCATATATAACTGATTACCTAGAAGTTGATATAAGAGAAATAAGCAAGTAGCTTCAAAAAGATTTTGAAAAATGGGGATAATTGTTTGATAAATTTTAATTAAAGGAAAACAATATTCTGGGGCAGCATTTGTAGTTATATTACCATTGGCATTAAGGAGGCCACAGAACCTTTCAGAATATAAAGTGATTCTTTATTCCTGAAGCAAATGCAGGGCAGGGTCCTGGATGGTCCTTCTGGTGACAGGGTGGCTCCTATATTCACATTCAACTCCATTGACCAAGCACAGATTCCAAGAGATGCTGAACAGGAAAGATGATTTCTCCCTTGATTTTCACAAAGGAGTCCACAACTTTTTCTTCCATCCTGAAGGAGGAGAGGATGTCCCCTGAAAAGAGTGTCCCTACTGTAACCCTGAACCCCCGCCAATGACAGTGCCTTTTTAGCTCATTTACCAACATGGGATATGCACAGCCTCACAGTAATTGCTCTGCCCCCACAAAGGCCAGGCAGGCGATTCAGGTGAGGCACATGGGATAAGGATGCTTAACCTAGTTTATTTCTTCTCTGATCTTCTTCTGCCTGAATGCCCTGAATAAAGCAGCAGGGATAGGGCCAGGGCAGAAAACTATAGAGAAGGCTGGGTCAGGCAGACACAGCTGGCAGAAGCCCAAAGCAAAACCTTTCCAGTGAATTTTAGCTAACCAGAAAAAGGCTGTAAAGCAACACTTGTTGCTAGCTGAAAAGTCTGTGCGAAGAGGCCTGTGACACTGGGGAATCCCCAGGTCTGACAAAGCCTTTGCCTCAGAATAAACCCATGGGAAGTTTTTTCCTTAGACAGGAAGGAGAAGATGGATTAGAGATCTCTATTCTGAGGGACACTGGGGTGGGGGCTGAGGAAGGACATTGAGGGCACCTTCAGGTCTGTCTGCTTATTATTCCTTGCCCCCAACTCCATTCCAGGTGTGAGTATGGTTCCTCCTTTATGCATCCATCACAGCAGTGGAGACTCTTCTGAGACTGGGGTTACTCTGATCCTGAGTACACCATATAGCACCGCTGCTGGACGCCCAGTGGCAACTTTCCCAGTCTCAGGTGGTCTAAACTATGCACTGAATAATACAGAATGCTGGAGTGACTCAACGCTTTTGTGTACCACTATTGCAAATCTCTTGCTGTTGCCTCTTCCCTTTCTTTTTACCTGGTAAACTTACATTCTGACTTTAGATTGTATTTTCTGCTTTAAAAGCAGAACCTGAAATCTGGGGAAGAGCAAGAGAGAAAGGGAGAGAAGAAGAGAGGTGGAGATATTTATTGTCTTGGTTGGGGTCAGAAGTAATGTTTGCCAGGCATTGTTCTAATTGCTTCATAACCATTAGTACTGCCCCTAGTCACTGGCAAGAGGAGCCTGATAAGTTATAAGTTTACTTATGAAAACACACTGACGTAGATATGTCCATGAGGAACTGTTAAATAAAAAAATATAGAATTAAAGAAACCACATTGATACCTCTGCCATTTGATGTTTAGGGCTGGCACGGTACAATCTCTGACGCTAAACATTTTCTCCATCATTAATACTATTCAGGACCAGGAAATGCTTCTCCACAGCTTTTGCTCTCTTTCCTCAAAACTAAGCATAACTGTGTCTTCTGAATACTCTAAAGGCTTGCGTATTGTGTCTTTGCTGATATCAAATGCACCTATTTCATGGTTCAGGGAGGATTTAAACAGCAGAAGAACTTAAAAAAGAAATGTCAACTTAATTAACTTTTCAAATACTTTCAGTCGAAGAGCATAAATACAATATATTCTTGCATGATGAAGAATCATTTAACAGCATGGGTGGTGTCAATTTTTTTTTTGCTCGTTTTTTTTGTTGTTGTTGTTCCATATATTAACCGGATAGTTACACATAACAGTTGAGGAGCCTTTAGTAATATTAAACAAGTCATATTAATCTTAAACTTGTATATGTGAAGATCTAGATGTAAAATGCATGAAACATGATCCACATTTTACAAAGAGAAGCCTGGGGCAAAAATAAACTCAGTAATTTGTCGACTCTCTTAAAGCGCATTAGTGGTGGAACTGCAACTCACTATTATTTCCTTCTAAGAACTTTGCTCTTCTCATCAAAACTTAAGACTCCTCAGGGTGTCTGAGACAACAGCAGTAAAAATTTCTATGACAGCAATTTTATCTCCCCTGAAATATGATCCCCACTTAATTTGCCCTATTAAAAATCCCAAGTATAAAAACAACCGGTTTTTAATCAATATTACAAAGACATTTACCGTCGAATCGCATTTTTCTTTTGCTTCTTAAAATCCCTTAGGCATTCAATCTTCAGCTCTTCTATAATTGACAAGGAATTTTCACCTCAAATGTTCATCCAGTGCAATTTGAAGAAATCACACAGTGCTAGGCACTGGATTGAGGACCTTCACACAAAAATGTCTGCCCAGATACAGATGAGGTCCTTCAGCTCCAGTGCTGATTGGCTCCTTTTCAAGGGACCATCCAATCCTACCACGCATGGAAACATCCAGAGCTTTTTATTCTTCCTGGCAGGTACATCAGATCCGTCAGTAGTCAGTTCCGAGCTCACTACTTTTCCCTTCATCTCAATTATGTCTTGGAAGAAGGCTTTGTTGATCCCCGGAGGACTTCGGGCAGCGGCTGTGACCTTGATGTTGGCGATGCTGAGCACCCCAGTGGCTAAGGGCAGAGACTCTCCCCGTAAGTGCAGGGCAGCTGCTCTGGAGAGCCGCCACTCTGGGAACAGGCTCTCCTTGGGCTGGGGAATGGGGGTGGTGACCTCTATGGTCTCGGACACAATCTTTTATCAACATTTTCTCTCTTTTGGGAAACAGAGCTATGTTTCGTTACCATTTATCTTTTAGTGATGAGGTGAGGACAATGCAATCCCCATCCTACAGGCTTAACCCTGGGAAAGAAAAGAGGAGACAAAGTGTACATTTATTACCAGTGATAGGACAAAGTGAGCATGGGGTTGTTTTTGAAGATATGAATTTCTCCGAAGACACAGCAGGATTTGTCATTTCAGCGTGCCCCGTGACTTTGTCTGGACTAAATATTATGAGATCCTGCGTTAGGAAATGTAAGGCAGCAATGGTGTCTGTAGTCTCGGTATTGGAGGAAAAGTGGTCTGTGTTCCTGAGTGGAGCGTTTGTGGAGGCGAAATCTTGGTACTGAGGGAAGCTGACTGGCTGACCACAAGCAGGGAGTCTTCAGGTTTCACTGATTTATGGCAAATGGTGACTTGAATGGGATTCAGAGACCTGAGTTGATGGTGGACTGAATTTAGTAGAAAAGAGGATGTGAAGAAGGGAAGTAATGAATAATGTGAAACCACTCATTTCAGACGCAGGACAATACTTTATATAAATTCTCTCTCTCACTCCTTCTAACATCCTGTGTGTAGATATCATGATTTTCTTTTATATAATTATACTTGTGTTATGGATATTCTGTTACATAACCTGCCCAAGCTGGTGACTGCCACAGTTTAACTGGAATCTCGTTTATCAAATTCAAAAGCTTATGCTCTTTCCATGAATAAATGTTTCTTTCTAGGACTCAGAGGTGTAGGTCCTTCTAACACAGAAGTCGGTGAACCTCACACGGCACTTGGGAGGGTAAATCCAGGCATAGGAAGGAAGTTATTTTATGCAGGGACCAAAAGAATACCGTATCAGAACGAAGACCAGGCTTAATTCCTGGACCTGTCTCGTCATTTTTTTTTTAATTCTCAGGCTTATGTGGATAATTTTATCTCTAAGCTTCCCAGGAGCTCCGTGGAAAATGGGATTTCATGCGAGAACGCCCTGATCCCTCTAAGTGCAGAGGTCCATGTAAAATCAGCCCGACTGCCTCTTTGCTCAGTTCACAGCTCAGGCAGGGACAGGCTTTCCTCCCTTTCCTGCCTGTAGGAAGGTGGACTCCGGAAGACCCCGGAGAGGGCGGGCGGGGCTGGACAGAGCCGCAGAGTGGGAGGATCCCAGGTCTGGAGCGCGAGGCCTTGGTCGGCGGGAACTGGAGGTCGCGCGGGCGGTTCCGGAGCTCCGGGCCGGGTCAGGGCGGCGGCTGCGGGGGGCGGCGGGGCTGGGGCCTGACTGACCCGCAGGTGATTCCCCGCAGAGGATTTCGTGTACCAGTTTAAGGGTCTCTGCTACTTCACCAACGGGACGGAGCGCGTGCGTCTTGTGACCAAACACGTCTATAACCGAGAGGAGTACGTGCGCTTCGACAGCGACGTGGGGGAGTATCGGGCGGTGACGCCGCTGGGGCCGCCTGACGCGGAGTACTGGAACAGCCAGAAGGACGTCCTGGAGAGGACCCGGGCGGAGCTGGACACGGTGTGCAAACACAACTACCAGCTGGAGCTCCTCACGACCTTGCAGCGGCGAGGTGAGCGTCGTCGCCCCTCCAGGAGGCCCACCCCTGCCCGGGGCCCGGAGTCTCTGTGCTGCGAGGGGCGAACCTGAGCCCTGTTCGTTCCATCCCAGGGGACCGGAGGCGGCGGCGGGCCGGTGGGGGCAGGTGCCTCGGAGAGGCGGGGACCTAGGGCAGAGCGGAGGGACGGGCAGAGCTGGCCAGGCTGCCTGGTGTCGCCCCAGCCTCTGGTCCGTCGGCCTCGTCCTCTGTTGTGCACGTTTTCACCTCGTGCCTTATGCGTTTTCCTCCTCGTGCCTTACCTTTGCTAAGCAGTTCTCTCTGCCCCGAACGCGGTGGCTCTCTCCCCTGCCCACCCGCCCCTCTAGCACCGCCTCACCCAGCGAGGCCCACTTGCACGGCTCTCCCCGCAGGAAGCTTCAGGCTTGGCCTGGTGGAGATAGGGCTGCCCCACAACGGCGTACAGGGCCTCCAGCAGTTACAGTTGTGAAATAAGATATTTTGACTTTTGGCTTCAAATCATTATTCATCGTAATTCTGTTTTCTTAAATGGCTGTCACTAATGATGGAGCTCTTTGAGGCGAGAGACTGTTTTAATTATTGCGTGCCTGGTACCTGACACATTGACTGGTGTGTGGTATGAGCGCAATGATCTTCTATTAAATTAATGAATAAATGTACTCAGCTGCCCGTCCACTTAGGTTCAAGAAAAAAACGGAGGTAAACAGAGTTTAAAGCTGGACTTTATTAATTATTTTCTGTAATTTTGCATAATGCTTTAAGGTAAACTCATTGATTTGGATATTAATAGTTGGTGAATACAAAGTGAGGAAAAAAGTGTTTGCTAAAAATAAAAACAACGCTTGAATGATGTTGTAGGCAGAGTTTTAATTTCCTAGAAAAGCTGAACAAACGGCACAATGCAAAGAGCAGAAGTTTGGGAATAAATAAATTGATGGCATTAAATAACTGAATAAAAATAGTTTCAGGTTGCTTTTGGCCTAGGTTCTCCCCTCCCTGCATCACTCTCCACTTCAGGAATAAACATTCTGAAAGTCAATTTTACTCATGCAGTCAGCACTTATTTCTAGATAGTTGCCTTATCAAATACCATCTATGTTATGCCATTTAATCTCACAGTTACCTGTGCATTAGAGATTAGCATCACCACTTTATGTATCCTAATATTGGTACATAATAAACACCTTAAATAACCAGCAAAAATTACTCATCAAGACCTTAAGCCTCCCAAAGTACACAACAGTCTTTACATTCTTCACTACACATCTACAGAGTCTAAGAGATGTAAAGCCTTGTTAAATCCAGTTTTGACCAGAAGCAGCAATGAGTCTATCCTGTTTATTCTCCATGTCAATGGGACAAAATGATACTTTCAAGGCATTGAAAATTTACTGATTAATCAATCTCTAGTCTGACCCCAGTGTTATCTATGCAAGTTCACAACACTTTTAGTTTGCTTTGTACTCCCTTGCCTTCTTTTGACTCGCATCCTAATCCCAGCAGCACTTATATTTTTGCTATTTCAGCTCTATTTCCCTATAGTTTATTTTATCATCTTTTCTCATAAATTTGCCCTCCAGTTTTATTCCCAATCTGTTTAAGATGAACAAATCTTATAAGGCCACATAGCTGACTGTGATTTCAGTCAGACTCCAGGAGGAGAACTTAAAGAAAAGTTCAAGTCCAAGCAGAAACCACATTCCTTCTGGATGATGGCTCATGAGTGCCATTAATTGGGTTGCCACTTGCTGACCTCAGCAAATCCCAGTTATATTTATGTGTTCACATTACAGGCTTATTAACCCAGGCTGATGTCTGCACGGATCTCAGAATATTTTCTGTGGAGAACATACATGATAATGTCTGATTTCAGAATAAGAAAGTAATTCTCAAAAGCAAGGGAATGGAGTAGGGTAGGCAGCTGGTAATTAAACTCACTTGCGTGTTAAAAAGAAATTGAGGAAAAAAAGAAAATGAGAGAACATATTACTAAATAAAGAAAGCATACATTAAATGTTTACTATAGTTTCACACTAAGAGAACAAAGGAAATGCAGTGAAGCGGTCTGAAAGGTAAAGGATGAGATGTGTAAAAGAGGTGGGGAAAGGTGTGCCTTTTTTTTTTGGCTATAAGCAGCACTCTGAGAAGATAAAGAAATCCAATAATGGGCAAACATGATGTTTGATCAGTGTTATTTGCATTCAAGTCCTGCCTACTTTTTTTTTCCCCAAATGTTACAAACTTTTGAAATAACATTATTGTGTTTTTTGGTATCTGTTACTATGTTGCACATTCTATAAAGGCAGGGACCATGATATGCTGTTTATCTTTGGATTCTCAGTGATTGTCAAGTTTATATTTTTTGAATGAACCTTAATCCAAGACTTGGATTCCAAGTATCTTTCCATTCTGGTTCCAAGGAGGTACCCTTGCTCGTGGTAGACGTGCTGTGTGGTCTCACGTCTCACTCCTGTGTCTTTCCCTGTCTGTTACTGCCCTCAGAGAAGCCTACAGTGACCATCTCCCCATCCAGGACAGAGGCCCTCAACCACCACAACCTGCTGGTCTGCTCCGTGACAGATTTCTATCCAGGCCAGATCAAAGTCCGGTGGTTTCGGAATGACCAGGAGGAGACAGCTGGCATTGTGTCCACTCCTCTTATTAGGAACGGTGACTGGACCTTCCAGATCCTGGTGATGCTGGAAATGACTCCCCAGCATGGAGATGTCTACATCTGCCACGTGGAGCACCCCAGCCTCCAGAGCCCCATCACCGTGGAGTGGCGTAAGGGGATATTGAGTTTCTGTTGCTATGGGCCCCACGAGACAAAGTGCAGAGCTCCTTCTGACCCCTCCCTTCTCATCTCTTATCCCTGATGTCACTACTGAGCTGGGAATCACAGGAGACTAGAGCCCCTCTTCTGATGGCAAGTGCATCAGAAGAATCCTGATCTCACCACCCTTCCAGATGCTAGGGACATTACTGTACATACTGTTGTTGCTCTGGATCCCAGTCCTGATAGCTCTGAGGGACTGATTATTAGGGTTGGTGACTGCGATCTTAGGGTCTAAGGTTGTAGATGAGTTCCTGAGTAGCGGAGATCTGCTTCCCTGCTCTCTCACCTACTCACCGTATCCAAGGACCTATTGGCGGCTGGTCTTTCCCTCCCTTAGAGGTGGCCTGAATGGAAAACTAGGTTCCTTTGATGCCTTCACATCCTGCATCTCAGACTGGACCTCAGCTCCTCATCAGGGATGTTCTGGGATGTGGGAACAAACACTGACAGTCTCTGCTTCTTAGGGGCTCAGTCTGAATCTGCCCAGAGCAAGATGCTGAGTGGTGTTGGAGGCTTTGTGCTGGGGCTGATCTTCCTCGGGCTGGGCCTTGTCATCCATCACAGGAGTCAAAAAGGTGAGGAACCCCAGGGGACAAGGGGAAGATGGGCTGTGACCCAGACCCTCTGTTCAGAGAGGACCTGTCTCTAGACTTAGCTCTTTCCTCCTGACCCTGAGAAGAAGGCTGGGCTGGAGTTGGGAGGAGACAGGACAAGATTGGAGGAGGCACTGGAATCTGATTTTACTGGGTGAATGGTAGTGCTGCCAGAGCTGACTGAGCTTATTCCAAGACATCCATACTGTTCATCATGCTCTCACAGGTGCCTTATAAAAGCTTCCTCCATTAAGAGGGTCAGAGCTTTGGCCTTCTTGCCTTCTAGTGACAATTTCCTTTGTTTTAGGGATTTTAAATTAGGTGCTTAAGGCCTTGAAGAACACAGGTGGGAAGAGAATATAACTCTAAGTCATGTGTGTCATTTTCCTTTGGGATGAGAAAGTGGCTGTTTGTGTAATGAGACCTTTCGCTGCATAACTTCCTTTTGTAGGACCTCAGGGGCCTCCCCCAGCAGGTAATATTTCAGCCATGATCCAGTGTGGGGAGGGCACAGGTATAAGAGGGAAGAGCATGAGCTGAGTGCACCTGACCACAGTGGTCTCTGTTTGTGGCCTATTTGCTGCTATGAGGATTAAGACTTAGGGGAGAAATTTGCCAGTTTCTAGGAGTCTCCAGAGGTTGTTCCCCAGAACCAAGCCTTAGCTTTGGTGACATCCTCCTGTGAAATGTGGGGACAGAACCACAGCTTAAATGTTATACACCACGATGATGCCCACTTTGTGCCACATTTTTGTGACTACTCCCTGTAGGCATTTTCCAGTGACTGAAAGAGGCCACTACTGACAGGGATGAGGTATTATCCAATTTCCTAAAAAGAACGAACCCTTCATATTCCCGGGAAGAAAAACAGCTGTTCCCCACCTCCCACACATCTGCATCAAGCTGAAGTTCCGTGTCCTCATGAGCTGATTTCACCTTTGCTCAGATCTTGGGGGAGGTGATGATGCTACACCCTGGACCTCAGCTTTCTCTGTCTGAAGCTGCAGGGGACCCCTGTGGGTGGGGGAGATGGCAGGCCCACCAGGGTACCCCGTGCTGATTATGCCTTGTCTCTCTTCTCCAGGGCTCTTGCACTGACTCCTGAGATGATTTTACCAGGGATGGGCTATCACTCTTCTGTAATGCCTGCTTGTCCTGCCTAGAATTCCCAGCTTCCTGTGTCAGCCTGTCCCCCTGAGATGAGAGTCCTACAGTGGCTCTCACGCAGCCACCAGGTCATCTTTCATCCCCACCCCAAGGTGCTGGCTGTGACTCTGCTTCCTGCACTGACCCAGAGCCTCTGCCTGTGCAGGGCCAGCTGCAGCTACTCAGGCCCCAAGGAGTTTCTGTTTCTATTCTCTCCTCAGACTGCTCAAGAGAACCACATGAAAACCATTACCTGACTTTAGAGCTTTTTAACATAATTAAACATGATCCTGAGTTGTCTGTATTCTGAACCTCCTTAATTGAGCAGGCAGGAAATCACTGCCGAATGAAGAAACATACCTTGAGGTGACCCAGCCAATCTATGGCCAGAAGGAGGGTTGTACCTTGAAAAGGCACTGAAAGCATTTTGGGGTGCGAAGTAAGGGTGGGCAGAGGAGGTAGAAAGTCAATTCAATTGTCACGTCGTCATGGTTCTTTCATATGGATGCTCAGTGCAGTCTCCTTAAAATATCTCACCTGTCTTCTGGTTTCGTGAGTGCTGTGTAAGTAAGCATGGTGGAATTGTTTGGGGACAGATATAGTGACCCTTGATCACTGGTATTTCAAATATTCTGGCAAGTCACATCAATCAAGAATAATTTTTATTTTTAAGAAGGCATAACCAGCAATAAAAGTGCTATTTTTGATTCTAAATGATAGAAACCCAAATATATTTTGTTCATGGTACAAAGGAAGCCTAGAGTCAAGTTGATTTCAGAAGTGACTAGTTCCAGATCATCAATGAGATCGTCACCTCTCTCTCTTATGTCTCTATCTGGGCATCTGTCTCTTTCTCTGTGTCTCTTTGTCCCTGTATAGTTCTTCCGTGTCTCTCTGCATCTTTGTCTCTGTTCCCTGATTGTGTTCTTCACTACATTGTTGCCTATTTTTCTAATCCATTGTCACTATTTATCTGCAGTTTTTTCTATCTCTGTGGTTTTTTTTTTTTGCTTCTATTTTTCTGCATTTCTCTTCCTTATCACTTCACGTCTTATCTCATCTCTCTCACTTTTTCTCTGTGTCTGTGTGTCTTTCTGTCTTTGTTATTTGTGTTTCTAGAATGCCTGCCAGAGTTTTAGCAACTTTAGGAAAGATTCTGATTGGCCAAGCCTGGGTAACATGCACACCTCTCAAATACACTGTTCTGTGCATGAGATGCTGACAGCCAGCACTGTGCCCATCCCTCTTATTAGGAAGAAGGACTGGATTTTCCAGATCCTTGTGGTGCTGGAAATGACTTCGAGTGTGCAGATGTCTACACTAGGTACGTGGAGCACCTCAGCCTCCAGAGCCTCCCCACAGTGGAGGGGTATAAGGGAGGTTTGTTTCTTGTGGAGCCCACAGGACAGATGGCAGAACTCCCTCTGGTTCTAGGGTCCCTCACTAAGGTACCTGTTCACAGCCATCCCATTCCTTGTCTGAGCTCCCTTTGTCATTGACATAGTAACCTGTTGATTCCTGATGACACATTCTTCCTGGTTTTGAGGGAGGTCACTACACACTGTGGCCCCTTTGATGTGGGCCCAGCCCTGAAGCTGGTCTAGATGTCAGTCTCTGAGTTTCATCATGAAGACAGAGTTTAAGAGCTTCTGCAAGCTTTTGGAGGGCCATGATCCTGAAAGTAGACATCCCATCTTCCTTCTTCCTTCACCCACACACTGGGCCTGAGGAGTCTTTGGCAGGCTCTTCCTTCTTATGGACGAGGTCAGAATGGAGAACTCGGTCTCCTTAGGACCTTCATCTCTTGTACTCCAGGCTGTCATGTAGGTCCTCAGACAGAGACACTGGCACACAAAGAGGCACCAAAACTTTAGATTCTGCTCCCCAGGGTTAGAGTCTGAATTGTTTTCAAGCAAAATGCTGAATGGAGACAAAAGTTTTGTACAATTTTGTCCTCTTCCTCAGGGTGGACATTGTCGTTCACCATAGGGATCAAACAGGAGTAATGCTTTTGGGGAAACGGTGAAGGCATGTGATGGGTTGTCCAGGGTGTCCTCAGTCTCTGTGTATAGCTCCTTGCACTTGACCCTGCAAAGGGAAGAGGCAGGCAGAGCTGGGGATTGAACCAGACGCAAAGTTTAGAAAGACACTGAGATCTGATTTTTCTAGTTGAAGCATAAGCTCTATAATCAGGGTGGGTGGTAGATTATATTCTAGGATATTCTTACACTTCAACATTGTCACACTGAGCACATGCTGGAATATTTTTTATTAATGAGAGGGTCAAAATTTTCTTCTCTTTCTTCCATTGACAGTTTCATAGAAACAACTATTTTTTTGCACCCAGATTTTATTGGCTAGTATAATCTTTAATGGATAATTTAGTCAAAATGACAAGTACATTCTATATAAATAAGTTTGGTAACACAAAGAACTGAGTCTTAGCATATAACTTGGAGGAAGGTATGTGGGTGTTCTAGAGAACAACCTACCACTCTTGAGCATTTGTCCTTACCTTAGTTAAGAACAGTTTATCTTTTGGAGACAGTAATGCTTGCCAACATTCCAAAGCTCCTGTACATTTCCCAGTGTTTTCTGCAGTTAGGTTAGAGTCAGTTGACTACCAGAAGCCAATGGAACTTGCAAGTAGATGCATGATGGCATATGAGATGCTGGAAATTCCATAATCTGAGTCATTTGAATAACTGTGGAATTAAGTCTCCTTATTGAGTTAAGCCACTGAGACCTATTTTTTTACTGTGGGTTAAGATCTTATTGCAACATAACCTTGCCCTTCCTGATTATCATGAAATGTTTAACTTAGGGAAGAGAGTTCTTAAGTTAATAGGGTGAATCAATTGAGTTAATGGAAGTTAAGGGATGATTTTCCTAAAGGAGGGGAGCACTACACACTGGGGTCAGTTGGGGGGAAATAGGGGAGGGACAGTGGGCGGTGGGGAGCTGGGGAGAGATAGCAAGGGGAGAAATGCAAGATGTAGGTGATGGGGAGGAAGGCAGCAAATCACACTGCCACGTGTGTACCTATGCAACAATTTTGCATGTTCTTCACATGTACCACAAAACCTAATATGCAATAAAATAAATAAATGGGAAAAAAAAACAAATGTAAAAAAATAAAAAGCAGAAAACTTTATTTGAATAAAAGTTAAGAATGTTACACTTCAAAAGAATTTTAAATTCATCAATTATTTTTAATTGACAAACACACAGTTATTTGTACTTTGTGACTTTTTGATACATGTGATTAAAGCCAGCTAATTAACATATCTATCCCTTTACTTTTTTTGTGGTACGAATATTTAAAATCTCTCCTAGCAATTTTCAAATATACAATACAGTTGGCCCTCTGTATCTGTGGGTTCCACATCCTCTGGTTCATTTAACTGTGGATTGAAAATATTTAGAAAAAAGTGAAAAATAACAATATAACAATAAAAATTCCAATTCAAAAATAGTACAGTATAACTATTTACATAGCATTTGCATTGCATTGGGTATTAGAAGTAATCTAGAGATGATCTAAAGTATATGGGAAGATAGGCTTAGGTTATATGAAAAAACTAAGCCATTTTTAATAAGGGACTTGAGCATTCTCAGATTTTGATATACAGGGACATTCCTGGAACCAATCCATCATGGATGCTGAGGGACGACTGCACTTTATTATTAACCATAGTCACCATGCTGTACAATTGTCCAGTACTTATTCCTTCTGTCTAACTGAAAGTTTGCACTTTTTTTTGAGACAGGGTCCATTTCTGGCTGGATTGCAATGGTGTGATCACAGCTTACTGCAACCTTGACTTCCCAGGATCAATCCATCCTCCTACCTCAGTCCCTAGAGTAGCTGGGACTACTGGCATGTGCCACCATGCCTGGCTAATTTTTGTATTTTTTGTAAAAGACACTGTTTCACCATGCTGCCCAGCTGGTCTTGAACTCCTGGGCTCAACGAATCCACCTGCCTCAGCCTCCCAAAGTAGTGGGATTATAGACATGAGTCACCACACCCCGCCCTTCTTTGTACCTTTTGACTAATATCTTCCCATTCCTCCTTGGCCCCCTCCTTACTACCCCCACTCCCCCACCTGCCAAGATTTTGACTTTTTTAGATTCCACATGTAAGTGAGGTCATGTGGCATTTGTCTTTCTGTGCCTGGCTTATTTCACTTAATATAATGTCCCCCAGGTTCATCCATGTTGTAAATAATGTAAGACTTCCTTCTTTTATAAGGCTGAATCGTATTCCAGTGTGCATATAGATCACAGTTTCTTTATTCACTCATCTGCTGATGGACACTTAGGTTGATTCCATCTCTTGGCCATTGTGAGTAGTGCTGCAGTGATCATGAGAGTACAGATATCTCTTTGATACATGGATTTCATGTTTGCAGCTGTACCCAGGAGTGGAATTGCTGGGTCATGTGGTAGTTCCATTTTTAATTTTTAAATAGATGATAAATTTAAAAAAACACTTATTTAGGCTGAGCGCAGTGGCTCACGCCTGTAATCCCAGCACTTTCGGAGGCTGAGGTGGGCAAATCACGAGGTCAGGAGTTCAAGACCAGCCTGGCCAACATAGTGAAA